CAGAAGGTCTGGATGTCCGTGATCCAAAGTGCAGCTCAACACTTCACTCCTTAGGAGCCTTCTGGGAAGTTGGAGCCAACGCTGCTCATGTCAGGCTGAAACACAAAACAGAAGGGAGGTTTGGCAGGGCCAGGGAGTGCCAAGGCACTTCAGAACACCAGCACAGTCAGTTCTCACCCTCCAGTTACACAGGCCTGGGAAAAATTCCCCTTCCTAGAAGAGAAGGGCCTAAGGAAAGAGGGAAGCAGATGTTGTGGCTGCTGACAGGTAGCTACAGCAACAGACCTGTCAAGCTGGCAAAGGTAAAATGCACACACAGCCTGGCCCAGGGAGTGATGAACAGCTCAGAGCACTTTTAATTACAGCTCTGATATGCTCAGAGACATCCAGGCTTTGCACCAGAACTGTAAATAGGCAAAGAACTCTTTCAAAGGGTTCCAAAATCAAGGAATTTGTTATGCCATAAACCATTCCCCATAAATTCTTATGATACCTGAGAACTCAGTCACTAAGTCACAATGCTCAGGTAGCTCAGGAACACCCCTTTAGCCCCACAGCAATGGTCCTCAGAGCTGTAACCAGATGAAAGGCCAGAGGCAGTCTGCAGAGGACACTGATCTAAACCTTGTGAAAACATTTTCCTACATTAATGAAAGGGGAAGGTCCTGTATCATTACCACTCCAGGCAGAAAACCTGCCTTGCATTAAAAGATAACTTGGACAAAGTCTTTGACAAAAAGGCTTTAAAGAAAATCAAGTTGGCAGTTCTAAATTAAAAAGATTTAAGGCAGCAGCTGACAAGCTCCAAAGTCTTTCTGGCTCCAGAAATGGTTGTAGTAAGCATCTGAAATAACTTTATACGGGTTACAACAATCAAAAGCCAAGATGTCAAGCAAAGTCACTGGTATTTTAACTTTTAAAACAAGGTTTGTTTAAAAAAAAGCATTCATGTCATAGCTAAGCACTGAACAGCTAGGAGAGCAAACTTGACAGCTGGAATGGATGTTACTTCCCACAAAAAGGATTCTCAGTCTCACACATTCCATCACCCAACTGCTGCCAGTAACCAACAAAAGGAAGGAGGCAGTAAGAAAATGGAAACTAAAAAAAAAAAGATAAATCAACTGCGAAAGCAGCTACCTTATGATAAAATAACAGCTTATAACCAAATCCTGGCGGTTTTGCCCCGGGCTGTGCCCCTCACCTGTCAATCAGGGAGTCCCTCATGTTGGTGGCGATGGTGCTGGGCTGGGCCTCGTTGAGCCTGAAGATGCTCTCGATGACGGAGAGTTCGGTGCTGGTGGTGTCCAGCCCGCAGAAGGCGCACCAGTCGTTCACCACCATGCCCGCCGCGATCACCTCGCTGCCGCGGTTCACCGTCCCCGCCTGCAAGGGCACAGGTCAGCCACATCCCCTCACTCCCCCCGTCACAGCCTTGGTGGGGGGCTCAGCTCACGGCCCCAGAACGGGGCTGGGAGGAAGTGGGAAGGGCAAACACAAACCCACAAAAGCCTTACCACGAGTGGGACCTGGAGCAGTGAGGACAGTTCATCCTGGTCATCTATGGAAGTTTTGGGGTGCACGATTCCTCCCTGGTTACTAAAAACACAGTAACTTCCCACCAGCACCTGATCTGCTACCGTTTGCCTGAAAACCTCCACCTTCAGCACATCTGCCAAGATCTCCTCTGTCTCCTGCCAACAGGAAGAGAACAAAGCCTTCAGTAAAATGGCACTGTGGAAGTGGAAGTCAAGCTGTTCCTGCACACAGCCCTCTGAGAGCCTTCCACTCTGCACAGCCCATTGCAACCCAGCCAAGGTGAAAACACAACCCCAGCCTCCACATTCCACATGTTCCCAGTGTCACCACGAACACCACACCCTGTGCTATTCCTGGGAAATGCCCAAATCCCCCTCTTTCTGCTGGCAGTACCTCAGCTGTGTCAGTGCCTGTTCCCTGGGCATTCCCAGTGAACCAGTCCCCCCAAACCACCATGAACAAAGCCGTCTTATCCTTCTGCAGAACTCTTAAGAACTTCCTTTCCCCTCCAGGTTTCACTGTGAACTATTTTGGTTTCTCTCTGCCCATCTTACCTTGCTTTTTGCACTTATTTAAAACATATTATGCTGCAAAGCCCATTACCCTTATTTTTCTTTTCCATTTGCACTCCTAACACCAAGTCCCATCTCTTCTTCAGCTTTAGCACCAGCTGAAAGCAAACACCCAGGACCTGCAGCCACACACACTCTCAATGCTATTAAGGTATCAGTTCTCAGACATAAAGTAGCAGCAACTTTGTCTCCTCCGCCCTTATTTCAGACTTTCAAACAAGAAACTTCTGTTTTTCTGTCAGCCCTCTGTAATCACTGACAACCATGGCTTCTTTCAATTGTTACAAACTTTGGGTGGCTCAGCTGCAGCTTCCAACTCCTGCTGTGATCCTCAGTGCCCTGCTCTGGGTGCTCTTTATTACGCTGTAATTCACTCAGTTTTACCACCCAAAGCAAACTGCACCCAATGCTCATGGAATCACAGGATGCTTTGGGTTGGAGGGGCCTTAAAGCTCATCTCAACCCATCCCCTGCCATGGGCAGGGACACCTTCCACCAGCCCAGGCTGCTCCAGCCTGGCCTTGGGCACTCCCAGGGGTGGGGCAGCCACAGCTTCTCTGGGCAACCTGTGCCAGGGCCTCCCCACCCTCACAGGGAAGATTTTCTTCCCAATATCCCATCCAACCCTGCCCTCTGGCAGTGGGAAGCCATTCCCTGTGTCCTGTCCCACGATACCCACCCACCCCTCTGCTCCCCGTTCCCTTCCCCGGGGCTGACCCAGAGGCCCCAAGCACAGCCTGGGCAGTGTTTCCCAGCCCCCCCGTGCCCGTGGCAGTGCCCCAGGGCCCCCTACCCTGTCCAGGTCGGGGTGCACCAGGGCCACGTAGTCATTGCAGGCGATGACGTTGCCCAGGGCCGAGAGCCGCTCCTCCACCCGCTGGATCCGCACCGAGTCGGGCAGGCTGTTCCGGATGTGCTGCAGCTCCTGGTCTGTCGTGCTGCTCGGCACCAGCAGCCCGTGCCTGTTCCCTAAAACGGCAACAAAAAAAAGCGGGATGGAATAAGGAGAATGCCCCCAGGGGTCTCCCAGCACTTCCCCGCTGGTCACGCCCTGCCCTGACCGCGTGTGCTCCTCCCAGCACCCAGACCAGAGATTTGTTACCATTCAGAGAGAACCAGCAGGAAAATAACCAGGAAAAACCACGGCGAGGCACAGGCTGTCACAAACCCCTTCTCTTTCCCAGCAGGACTAAAGGAAGCTCGAGGCTCTCAGCGAGACCCTCTGACAAGGAACTCCCCGTGAAGATGCCAAGAGCCCCACGACAGGCCCGGGCGCCGCTGTTCGTGTGACTGCGGCAGCACCGTGGGGTGGTGAAAGGAACAAAAAAAACACCCGAGGAACTGGAACAGCCCCCGGGGTCGAGGGGCGCGGCCGGACGCGGGACCCCTCCCCGAACCCCCCCGGGCACTCCCCTCACGTACCCACACACATCCTGCCGATGATGCGGCAGCCGGCGATGGACGCGTGCACCACCGGGATGGTCCCGAAGAGCTCCCCCTCGAACACGCTGCAAGGACAAAGGGCCGTCAGGGTCCCGCGGGGCGGGGCCGGGCCGGGCCGGGCCGGGCCGGGCAGGGCAGGGCCCCCTCACCTGTAGAAGTTCTCTGAGCCGCCGATGGCCACGAGGCAGTAGGCGTTGGTGAGCTTGGCGAAACAGCCCAGCTCGTTGTTGTTCTCGAAGCTGGCGCGGACCGCCATGGCGGGAACGGGTGTGGGGCCGGGAATAGGGCCGGGAATGGGGCCGGGACCGCAACCCTCAGTGAGAATGGGGCGGGTGCCGGGCCGGGAACGGAAATGGGGCTGGGCCCTGGTTCGGGGCTGAGAAAGGGAACGGGCAGGGACCGGGAATGGGAATGGGCAGGGGCCGGGAAGGGGCCAAGTCCGCAGCCACTCCCGGCGCCTCAGAACCACGAGGTGCGGCCGCTTCCGCTTCCGGCGGGCGGGGGGCAGAGCGGCACCCGGCGGTCACAGCGCCCCCCAGCGGCCGGGAGGGGCGACCGCCCCAGGCAGGGGAGGGACCGAGCCGGGAGGGACAAACACCCACCCGCAGGGACAAACACCCACCCGGCAGGGACAAACACCCACCCGCAGGGACAAACACCCACCCGGCAGGGACAAACACCCACCCGGGAGGGACAAACACCCACCCGGAGGGACAAACACCCACCCGCAGGGACAAACACCCACCCGAGAGGGACAAACACCCACCCGGGAGGGACAAACGCCCACCCGGGAGGGACTGACCCGTGGCGGCAGCACCGCCCCAGGCACCCCACGCCAGCCCTGTGGGACAGGACCCGTCCCTGTGTGTCCCGATCCCACCCCGGGTCGAGCCCGTCATCACTGTCCCTGTGCCATGTATGCCATGCTGTCCCTGTGCCATGTGTGCCAAGGCTGTCCCTGTGCCATGTGTGCCATGCTGTCCCTGTCCCCACTACCATGGCCACCCCCCCGTGCAGTCCCAGCCCACGCCCAGGAGCTGGCACAGTGTCCCTGTCCCAGCGGGAGCCGTGCCAGGCACACCCCGTGCTGACACAGTGGGTGTGTGACAGCAGATGTGTCACCTGAGTGCACACCCGTGCCCCGGTGCCTCTCCCGTGTACAGGGCCCCCTGTGTCAGCTGCCACTGGTGCTCAGGTTGATCCACGAGCAGAACCCACCTGCGTGTGACACCTTTGCCATGCCAGTGTCAGCCAGGGGCAGATGCCAACCGTGTGCCCAGACGTGTCCCTGTCCCCCTCCCTGCACTGCTCAGTGCTCTGCCCCCCACGAGGACCCAACACGGCTCTTTCCAACAGAACAGCTCCTTTATTTTAACATCCCCCTCACTCTGGGCATCTCGCTGGCACCAGGGACAGGGAGGAGACTTGCTCGGCACGGAGTGAACCCAGGCTCACCCCGCACACCTCCGTGGCCCAACAGTTTCCAGCTGTACAACGGTTTTGCTCCAAGTTCGGAAGGAAACAGTTCTTTCCCGAATGGGTTAAGAGAGCGTGGATTGTGCTTATGTGCTTTTCCCTCTCCTGCCACGATTATGCCACTGGAAATTTGAACTGCAGTCGCTAATCTCACCTGAATCAGTCATCTGCACAGATTAAACGATTAAACAGGCGCCTTTTCACAGCAACAAGACTAATTCGCCACCCATATTTTGATTCCAAGCCCCAAGGAAAAGCAACCCCTGGAAAATCAGAGCCGAGGCCCCCTGCAGGCCCCGGGTCAGAGCTCGAAGCGGCTGTGTATGTGTTTGGATTTGAGCTTGTTGTACTTGGTGATGAGGTCCAGCTTGCTGTGCCCCAGAGTCATTCTCTTCTCCGCCCCGTACGCGCTGTTCTTCTCCATCAGCACCTCCTCCGGGAGCTTGTCGTAGCACGGCGCCGCGGGCTTTTTGTCCCGTCGGAGCTGGTTGTATGGGGAGAACAGGTCAAATTTCCCGTGCCCGGGGCTCTGTCTCTTTTCCACCCCATAGAACACGTTGTCATTTTCGGCCGGCAGCTCCCTGGGGGTGCCCGCAGGCCCCCTCTGCTTCAGGCTGGTCCCGTTGCTCCCGGCGCCCTCCGACAGGGATTGCAGCGGCTGCTCCGGCCTCGGAGGGGAGCAGTGGCTGCTGTTGGCCTTGGAGTCCCCCTGATAACCAGGTTTATTGGAGCTCAGGGCAGGGGAGGGCTCTGGCTGCAGGAATGTCCTTGCCGACACGGGGTTTGCTTTGGGAAACAAGGTGGGTTTATTTGGAGGACCGGTCACTGTGTCTGGTGGCTCTTCTTGCTGCCTAGTGGGCTTCAGGGATGTGTCTTCCTTCCCCTTCTTATTGCCAGAATCAGAGCTGGAGTCTTGCTTTTCCTGGTGCGCACTGCAGCTGGAGTTTTTCATAAAGGGAGATACTTTTATGCTCCTGATGCTCACGTTGGAAAGGCTGCTGGAGGGGCTCAGGGTCTCAGCGTCGTTCCCCTGCGGGGGTTTTAAAAGGCAGTTGTCAACTTTGGAGGGGCTCCGAGAGGAGAGGCACGTCCCAGGGTCCGGCACACAGAAGGTGGTCACTGCCCTGGACTCCGCGTACAGGTACCGGAATTCCTTGTCAAACTCGGCAACGATTTGGCCTCGGAAGTGAGTCACCAGCCCGGTGTGGACCTGGCTGCACAGCCAGGTGAAACTGCAGGAAAAGGAACGAAACACATGGAAATGTTCAGTTCACGGAGTGCCAAGACAGCCAGTGTGGATTTTAATGTTCCAGGGAGGGATTGCTCCCCGGTTTGTGCCGTTAGAACTTTCTCTAGGTGTGCGGGGCTGAGGTGGCTCGTGGAGGTGAATGTGCCCATCTCGTGATGACAAAAGGGCAACCCCAAAGTGGTAATTTCATTTCAGCTTGGGGGTCCCCTCCTGGCCTTGGCAGGAGGGGGCTTCTCATGTCCTGACACCTGCAACACGTGATGGGCTTGAAGGAGCTGTTTAGGCAGACAGGAGGTAAGGAGTGGAGACCCTGGGCACTGCCTTGAGGACCAGAGGTCCCCAGAGCCCACAGGAATAGCTCAGGACAGGAAGGCTGATGATGTTTTCCAGAAATCTGTAAGATTCTCAGATGCATGGTCTTAGAAATTTGCTCAGCAGGTGCAGTCTCTGCCCTCACAGTACAGTGTTTTGGAATCTTTTCTGGGAGCTTGTCCTGTTCCACCGTAAAACCAATCAGTTTTTGCCCCAGCTGGGGAAAAACTCCATTAATTGCCACTCTTCATATTTTCCTTATCTGTTAAACCCTACCTGTTGTTTGTGCCAAAACTGTAACCTAATTAGTTCTTCCCCCATATGGCTACAGATCATAACCGCAATTCTCCTCCTAATCTTCATTTTCCCGGGTTAAACAGGGAAGCTCCTCTTACAGAGTAGGCTCTCCAGGCTCCTGGGCATCCCAGTCACCAGCTGCTTCTTTTTTATTTTTATTCTTGCTATAGTCAAACCAGATCAGCATGTTTAATGTGTTAAATAAACCAGAACCTTCAGAGATGGCAATACAAGCTTAGGGCTGTGTTATCAGCTGCTGAAGTGAAACACTGACTCTAAAGAGCAGGATGAAATGAGAGAAACTCCAGGAGAGCAATTGTAATGGGAGATTACAATTATTCTCAAGTAAATGTCATTTCAGGACAAGATACTGGCACCGTGTTTTGGGACCTCATCGATGTTTACCTCACAAGACAGATCTTTGGGAACTTCCAGTAAAATGCAGCTGTGGCCTGTCCCTGAGCACTGGGCAGTTGTTATGGGTCACACTGGTGTTTGGTGTGTTTACACTCAGCAGACACACCCCAAAGAGCAACACAGAATGAAAAAAAAAAATCAATACTCTGCTGCATAATAGCAAACCAGGTAAATTAGTTAAGAATGAAGGAGCAGGGAGGGAGAGTACTCACAAATACCATAGTGAAGGCTCAAAGCAAATGCATCCACCTCCACGAAGATATGAGAGAAAAAAAAACCGAACCAGGAACTGGGATGACTAAAATGACACAGGAGAAGCTCTTAAGTCCAGAAAGACCATCTTTAAAAAAGGTTGGGTCACACATTGCAAAGGGGGAAGAAATAACATTCAGCTCTCTGGGGGTCTGTGGGTAACAGGACCCAGAGAATTCCTCTGCATGCCTGTTTATTGTGCTGGAGCTCGGGATGATCCCTGCCCTGAGCCCCCTTTATACAGAGCATAAGGGAGGGTCGGTCCCCTGTGGAGATCTCTGTAGGTGAGATTAGAAAACATCAACAGAGCAGAGAGCAGCAACTGGGCAGGACCAGGGAATGTCAGCCCCGGGGTGAAACAGCTCAGGTACCAAGCAGGATGTGCTGTCTCCCACTTGAAAGGGCCCAGGGTTATCAGGAGAGTGGGAGGCTGTTAATGCCATCCAATGTTTCTAATGTCCCAGACCATTGTCTCAAGCTGCACAGCCCAAATTAGATAGATAGAAGTTGTGTAGGTACACAGAGTAGTAGAGACTCTTCTGAAGGATACAATTAATGGCCAGATAGGAAATATGAGATGGTAGGAAAGGCAGCTTTGGCAGAGGAATGTTATCTCTCACAAAGCCTCAAGAGTTCTTTGAAGAAATCCAGGAGTCCAAAAGGGGAGATTTCATGGAGTGACACTGTCAAAAGTGTCTGTCCCAGGGCACTGCCAGGCTCCCAGGGGTGCTGGTGACCATGCTGCTCACAGCTCTCCCCCTGCTGCACAGGAGAGTCTGCCTTGCACCCCTCACCCTGTGAGCACTGGCTCCTGAAGTGGGAGAGGACCCTGCTTACCCCAGGGGAGGATCCTTCCTGTCACCCCTGTGTGCCCAGCCTGGCACCACTGCTGCCAGCACACCTGGAAACAGCTGGGCAAGTGGTCCTGTTTGCCCTCCTCGTTCTGGCCAGGAGGTCTCAGACTCATGTCTTGCAGGTACATCCCAGGAGCTCCCTGCCCACCAAGGCCTCTGGCCTCGCCTCACCGGGGGCAAACAACACGTCTGCTTGGGTTCTCCTTGCCTCCCTGGACAAAGTGATTTCTACCTCCTGTCCTCTCCCAGCCCCTCTGACCCAAGCACTGCCCCCCGTCCGAGTGCACCCATCCATCTCCCCTCATCCATGTGAGCTGTCCTTCCTGCTGTGAGCAGAGAGCCCTGCCCTGGCCTTATGACTGTCCCTGCCACTGATGCCTCTCATGGCTCTTTGCCCAGCCCAAGCATTCCTTGTCCCAGTTTCCCATGCTGATCCCACCCTGTGTCAGGATAGGACCTGGAAGGAACCATCCAAGTCCCCTGGTGGCACAGCCCTGCCCCTTGCCATGGTTTCCAGGTCTCCACGGTCGGATGTGTCCTTGCCCATCACAGCTATTCCCATCGCTACAGACTGACAAAGGTCACGGATGGCATGGAGGAAATAGCCAGGGAATGAGCACTCTTGGTTTCTTCTGGTATAAAAAGGAGGCACTGGATGAAGTGAACAGGTTATAAATTCAAAGCAGACAAGAAGAGGTACTTCCAGTGCCAGGCTGGATGGGGCCCTGAGCAACCTGGTCTAGTGGAGGGTGTCCCTGCCCACGGCAGGGGAGTTGTAAGGTCCCTTCCAACCCAAACCACTCTGGGATTCTATGATTCTGTAATTCCTTGCGCAACACAACACACATGAGGGCTGTGGAGCTCCTCCCTGTGTGCCACTGTGGATGCTGAAAGTTCATGTGACCTTCTGACAGTGTCAGGATTTTCCTGACATTACTTTTTCCCATAACAAACTGCTGCCCACAGAGCCCATATCCCGTTCTGGATCACCCTGGGGCACGAAGGAGTCTGGGAGGGGGTGACTGTAGGACAGGATCCCTTCCCTGCCCCGCTTCCAGACACTCCAGGAGCCGGTGCAGCTCAGGCCTTGGCCGGGAGATGGAGGTGCAGCATCACCTCGGGAGGTGGGGGCACCTGCCTGTCCTCGCAGCACCCCCTGCCCGGGGCTCTGGCGGGGCCGAGCAGGAGCAGCAGGAGCAGTCGCGGGATCCTCCATCTCAGCAGCGTTTTCAGCACCCGGATTAGTGCCCTGCGTGCCCTCCCTGCTCTGCTCTGGGTCACGGGGGCCTCTCCCCAGCCCTGTGTACAGGTGACTCCTCATCTCCACACTCAGCCTCTCTGCCTCTGCTCTTCCCAACATACAAAATACCAATTTTCAGCAAAAGGTTTCTCGCTTCTTTCAGCAGCTTCCCAAACCCATTTTTATGGCTCTTCTGTCACTTGGGCTGTCAAAGCCACTCTTTTCTTTCCATATGCCAATGCAAACTTCTGTGTTTTGTTTTTGCTCGTGGCTAAAAGTAAGTACCACATAACACTCATTTCATTTCAAGTGACATTTTGATAAGGTGACAACAGCCTGCCTTTATTGTAGCAAGGCCTTTCAGCTGCTTCCAGCACACTTGAAATCATTTCCACTCCTTGCTTTTCATCTTTGTTTTGATCCAAACCACTCTGCGATGCATTCAGCTAATTTGGACACCCATTTCAGCTCTCTCTTATCTGTTATTCCCCCTTCCAGCAGCAAGCCTCCTCTCTTTCTGCTGGATTCACTTTTTATTTACACACCTGAGGACTTGCTTTGGTGTGCCCAGCAAGGCTGTGTGGACCTTATCTCCTGGCAGTGCTCACAGCACGGGGTTCCCTTGCTGTGCTTCCCATTCCTGACACACTCCCTTCCTGCTTCATTATCATTTCTTTCTTGAGGGGACTGCTCAAGTTAGATCTGGAACTCGCTCTTCCAAGCTCTTTCCTCCTGCCTGGGCCATGAATACCTGAGAACCTTGCTTTGAAAGAAATTCCAAGCCCCCTCCAGCTCCAAACCCACGGAGCTGTGCCTGTCCATTGCCAAACACTTCTGTACTTCAGTTTTGTTTCACCTGCAGTCACGTGCGGAGCTTTTGCAATCCTGTAAACCGTCACCTCTCATTTTTCAGTCTCAGCTGCTGTGTCAGCTTCAACCCCAAACGTGGAGTCTTTCACTGTGGCAAACACTGAGCTCTTCCTCTCTGTGCCCGTGGCAGGACACACCGAAACCGTGACCATCTGTCACTGTGAGCTGAGAAATCCAATCCCCTCCAAGGAAACTCAAACAGCCCTTTCAGGCTGACAATACCAGCTCTTTTTTCTAGCCTCAGTCTAGCAAATGTTTGCTCCACTTTTCCTGTTCAAGATCCTGTTTAGGTCTAGCCCCTTTTTGCCCTTGGACTCCTCTCCCCTGCTGCACCAGTAAATGTCTCCATATCCTTCACTCTGTCACTCAATCAGTGCTCAAAGAAACACACTGTTGCCTCTGGTGCCCAGAATAACCCTAAATAGCTAGATACAGAACTACATTTAGGATTTTAGATCATTGCTTTGCCCAAATACCTCAATTTAGGGTTTTTCCTTCATTTAGAGGAAATATAATGCTGAAGATGGAAAACACAGGGAAACGTCTAATCAATAAATATGTAAGAGTTGAGGGGGATAAACTAATTTGCCTGCAACTGTTTAGTAAGAGCCATGAGCTTGGTTCCCATATTTAGAAAACCCTGCAAAAATGTGCTCCATCCCTACCAACAGGCAGCAGTGTATCAGAATGAATTAAAGAATGAGAATCACAGACTATCCTGAGCTGGAAGGGACCCACAAG